GCAGGAGAATTGCCTGAACCCAGGAGGCGGAGGTTGCGGTGAGCCGAGATCGCGCCATTGCACTCCAGCCTGGGTAACAAGAGCGAAACTCCATCCCAAAAAAAAAAAAAAAACTTTAACTTTTAGTTTATATTCAGGAGGTACATGTGAATTTTTGTTACACGGCTATACTGCATGATGCTGAGGTTTGGGGTATAACTGAGCCCATCGACCCAGGCTTAGTTGTACCAGTAGGCGGTTTTTCAATCTTTGCCCCCTTCCTTCTCTCCCCACTCTAGCAGTCGCAGTGTCTGTTGTTGCCAACTTTATGTCCCCGAGTACCCAATGTTTAGCTCTCATTTATAAGTGGGAAAGTGTGGTGTTTGATACTCTATGCCTGTGTTAATTCACTTAGAATAATTGCCTCCAGCTGCATCCATACAAGCAGGTTTTTAAAGACAAGAAGTGAGCAAGGGGTGGACTGATACAAAGTTATTTGACAGGAATTCTCATTGGTTTGCAGAAATAACATTGATTAGTGATTGACTTTATGTTGTTGAGCTACAGCAGTGGTCCCCAACCTTATTGGCCCCAGGGATCAGTTTCATGGAAGACAGTTTTTCCACAGACCTGGGGGAAGAGGGGGAGATGGTTGAGGGATGAAGCAAGTACATTACATTTATTGTGCACCTTATCTCTATTATTGTTACATTGTACTGTATAATGAAATATATGACTCACCATAATGTAGAATGAGCTTGCTTTCCTGCAAGTAGACAGTCCCATCTAGAGGTGATGGGAGACAGTGACAGATCATCAGGCATTAGATTTTCATAAGGAGCATGCAACCTAGGTCCCTCACATGCACAGCTCACAACAGGGTTTGTGCTGCTATGAGAATCTAATGCTGCTGCTGATCTGACAAGAGGAGGAGCTCAGATGGTAATATGAGCAATGGGAAGAGGCTGTAAACACAAATAGTTTTTCTTGCTTGCCTGCCCACCACTTACCTCCTGCTGTGCAGCCTGTTTCCTAACTGGTCTGGTTGAAGATCCCTGAGCTACAGGATATGAGTTGTGGTGTCCATGGTTATAGTATATGGCATTTTATGGCTACTTGGCATCAACTAGTCTAGAGCCCCCAGCAAGTGGCTTCAAGAGACAATTACTTAGCTCAAGTGGAGACTGAGACGTGATGGCTTTTTACTCCAATGCCCTTCTGGGCTAGATAACTTAAAGGGGCTTGCATTCCTCACATAAAAATTTCTTTTCTTTCTCAGTGCTCACACAGGGGGCAGCTTTTCCTCAGTGAGCTGAAATTCAAGTGCAATCCTTGACTTCTCCTACTGCAAGTCCAAGTATTTTCTCTTTAGAAGTGATAATAGTACTTCAGTAGAGGGCAGTGGCCCACAGAAAATTTCTCTAGCATCTTGAAACTAAAACTATCAAGAAGGCCAATCTGATAAAGACAATTTGGAACCGTTGAGGTACAATCCCTTGTTTTCTATGCCCCAGCACAGAAATTTTCCTCCTTCCCAGGGAAATATATGAACTAAACAGGAGTCATAATTCTGTCTTTTAACTTTGCTGCTGCTGATTTCAATGATTTCTTTTTTATTTATCAAAATAATGGCTACACTTGTTAAGATCCTACAAAATCATTGACCAACATCACGTCTAAACCACTCAACACTAGTGTCTTTCTCATTTTATAGCTGAAGAAGCTGAGGCACAAAATACATTAATCATTTTGAAGCCTTACTTGAGCCAACGTAAGGCTAGCTCAGAAAAAAATCTAGACCTTCAGCCAAAAAGTAGGAAAGGCCCAGATTTCAGCAGGACTCATACCTGACATTCAACAACTTCTCTCAAAGCCAGAAGAATACAAGGGGTTCCCAGAGCTGGCCAAGTGTCCAGTGTGGGAGGTATGTCAGATGGCAGAGGCAAGGGTATCTTTTAAATTTGCCTAAATTGTAGGATCACATGGAGCAACTCTTTTGCATACAAGATTCAAGTCTCCCCTGAACAGTGGTTCTTAATCTTAGCTGCACATAGAATCACTTGGGGCAGGGTTAGAGGGTCATTGTTAAAAAATCTTGGCCTGTAATCCTAGCACTTTGGGAGGCCAAGGCGGGCAGATCACGAGGTCAGGAGATCAAGACCATCCTGGCCAACATGGTGAAACCCCATATCTACTAAAAAATACAAAAATTAGCTGGGCGTGGTAACACACGCCTGTAGTCCCAGCTACTTGGGAGGCTGAGGTAGGAGAATTGCTTGAACCCAGGAGGCGGAGGTTGCAGTGAGCCAAGATCGCACCACTGCACTCCAGCCTGGCGCCTGACAACAGAGAGAGACTCTGTTTCAAAAAAATAAATAAATAAATAGAAAAAAAAATCTTGGTGGCCCAGGCTAGCACTATCTATCCTGTTGGCTCTTTTTCCTGGAGAAAGCTGACTAACATACAGGGTGTGTGCTTCATTTTTTAAGAGACTGCTATACTCTTTTCAGAGTGACTATGCCATGTTACATTCCCCAAAACAGGATAGCATTGTCTGACATATCTAGATTTTCCACATCCTTGTCAGAATTTTGTATTGTCACTGTTTTTTCTATTTTAACTATTATAATAGGTATGTGATAATATCTTATTATGGTCTTAGTTTGCCTTTCCCTTGTAACTAGTGACACCGAATATATTTTCACGTGCTTATTTGTCATTTGAAAAATCCTCTTCCATGAAATGTCTTTTCAAGTCCTTTGCCTATTTTTAACTGAATTGGCTGGGTTTTTTTACTGTTGAATTTTGAGGACCATATATATATTCTAGACATGAGTTATTTGTCTGATATGTGGTTGGCAAATATTTTCTCCCATTATGGAGCTGATCTTAACAGGGCCTTTTGCAGAGCAAAAGTTTTTCATTTTAATAGTTTATATATTCTCTCTTTTATGTATTATATTTTTGGTATTATGGTCCAAGAACTCTTCACCAAGATTTAGGTCTCAAAGATTTTCTCTTATGTTTTCTTCTTAAAGTTTTATAGTTTACCTATTACATTTATATCAATGATCCAATCTGAGTTAATTTTGTATAAGGTCAAAGGTTTAGACTGAGGTTTTTTGGCTTTGGTGTATTTTTTCTTTTTTGGTCTGTGAGCGTCCAGTTGCTCTAGCACCATTAGTTGAAAAGACTATCCTTCCCTCATTGAATTGTTTTGACACCATTGTCAAAAATCAGTGGGCCATGCTTGTGTGGGGCTACTTCTGGGTTTTATTCTCTTCCATTAATCTTTGTGTCTGTCCCTCTGCCAATATCACCTAATCTTGATTACTATGGCTATGAAATAAGTCTTAAAATCGGGTAGAGTGATTCTTCCCATTTTCTTCCTTTTCAAAGTGCTAATTATTCCTTAAACATTTGAAATAGTTTCCAGTCAAACTCTCTGGGCTTGGAAATTTTTTTCCTGGGGAATTTTAATTATGAATTCAATGTCCTTAGTAGTTACAGGGCTATTCAAATTATCTATTTCATAGATGGGTTATAGGAGTCTACACTTTTTGAAAAGTTGGTTTATCTCATCTAAGTTGACAAGTTTTATGTGTGTAGAGTTGTTCATAGTACAGTTGATTCTTGAAAAACGTGGGTTTAAACTGGGAAGGTCCACTCACATGCAAAATTTTCTCCACCTTTGCCACCCCCAAAATAGTAAGGCCAATCCCTCCTCTTCCTCCTCCTCTTTCAGCCTACTCAGTGTGAAAACAATGAGGACAAAAGCCTTTGTGGTGACCCACTTCCACATAATAGTAAATATATTTTTCTTCCTTATGATTTTCTTTTTTAAAATATAAATTTAAGTGGTACAACTGCATTGTTACATGGATACATTACATAGTGGTGATGTCTTGGCTTCTAGTGTATCCATCACCCAAATAATGTACATCATACCCATTACATAATTTCTCAACATTCACCCCCCTCCCACCACCTCCCATTTTCTGAGTCTCTAGTGTATATTACTCCACATTCTGTGTCCATGTGTGTGCATTACTTAGCTCCCACTTATAAGGGAGAACGTGCAGTATTTGACATTCTGTTACTGAGTTGTTTTACTTAAGATAATGACCTCCACTGCTTGAGCCTTGGGGGTTGAGGCTGCAGTGAGTCATGATTAAGCCATTGCATTCCAGCCTGGAAAACAGAAAGAGACCCTGTCTCAAAAAAAAAAAAAAAAAAAAAAAAGTTGGACTTTAGTTATATTCATGTTACTGCAAAAAGTATTATTTCATTCTTTTTATGGCTGAATAATAATTCATATATATATATATATATATATATATATATATAAACACCACAACATCCACTGCTGGACATGTAGGTTGATTCCTTATCTTTGCTAGTGTGAATTGTGCTGTGATAAACATGCACGTGCAAGGAATCTTTGATATGATCAGTAGATACAAAGGAAAAGAAATCATTATATCAAAGATTCCTTGCACATACATGTTTATCAGTAGTGGGATTGCTGGATCCAATGGTAGTTCTAGTTTTAGTTCTTCGAGAAATCTTCATACTATTTTCCAAAGAAATTGTACTAATTTACATTCAAACTTATACAACAATGTATAAGTTTCCTTTTCTTCACATCCTCACCAGTATCTGTTGGGTTTTTTTTTTTTACCTTTTAATAAAAGCCATTCTGATTGGTGTAAGATGATATCACATGGTAGTTTTAATTTGCGTTTCTCTGATGATTAGTAATAATAAGCATTTTTTCATATGCTTTTTGGTCATTTGTATGTCTTCTTTTAAAATGTCTATTCATGTCCTTTGCCCACCTTTTAATGGGGTTATTTGTATTTTGTTGTTGTTGTTGAGTTATTTGGATTCCTTGTAAATTCTGGATATTAGTCCCCTGTCAGATGCATAGGTTGCAAATATTTTTTCCCATTCTGCAGGCTTTCTGTTCACTCTGTTGTTTATTTCTTTTGTTCCTTTTTTTTTTTTTTTTTTTGAAACAGAATGTTACTCTGTCTCCTAGACTGAAGTACAGTGACGTGATCTCAGCTCACTGCAACCTCTGGCTGTCGAGCTTCAAGTGATTTGATTCTCATGACTCAGCCTCCCAAGTAGCTGGAATGGCAGGTATGTGCACCACACCCTGTGACCTGGATCACATCCATTCGCTCCACGTTCAAGAGCCTGCTGTGATGGGTATCACGTCGGTGGGTCCCTGCTCTGGTGCAAGCTGTGCTGAGTGTAACGTTGAGTCTCCTCAGACCAGCACCGGCTGTGATGTTAGTCTCCTCACACAGGGCACCACCTGTGACCTCAGTCACGTCAGGGTCACCACCTGAGACATCATCGATCACCACCTGTGGAAGTCTGTCCTCCAGACTGTGGGTAACACCCGCCATGGGCACTGAGGAAGGCGAACTGTCCAGACCCCAGGCACTACCAGTGCCTGAAGAATATCTTAGTTTATAGTGTTATTGCTCAGCTGTTTCCTTTATGTAATCCTGCATATATAATCATATATTAGTTTATAGAATTGGTGCTTGAAGTATAACTTACTGCTTCCATATATCTAGTTTATATAATCATACTTAATACTTATATCTACTTAGTTCTATATAATCTTTCTATATAATCATATAGGTATTGTAGTCAGAGCTGTACTGACACAGTTAGTGCTGATTTATATAATCCTTCCATATAACCATATAGTAGCTTGTAGTAGGAGGAATGCCTAGAGCAGTCACAGAACAGAAGCAGTACATGGGAAAACAGCCAGACCAGGACAAGAACCAAAGACCCAGGTGGTGGTGTCCCTGCCTGAAAGGACATACGCTGTATGGCAGGCTTGGATCAAGAGCCTCTCCTCCTGATAACGGAGTTGTAGTACCTTGCATTCAGTTCCTGTGGAAAGTAGGCCTCAGGCCTGAGATTCTGAAAGTAACCGAGGGAGAATAACCCCTCTTGTGTGACCAGTCACGGTGGCTGTACACCCCATCAGTCTATTCTCACTTCTGTGCTAGCTCAAATCATGCTCCCATAAGTATCTTAAGAGAAGAGCACAAGTCTATCAGCTCCCACTGTGTTGGCTTACAGTATCCTTCTATTAGAAATCCTTTGAAGTCTCCATCCCCCAGATAAGAAGTGTTGTGCATGACACCTGCTGCACACAGCCCACCTCCTTGTCTCAGTGACCTGATGGGGGTGGACCCCTTTTCTGTACACAACCCCTTACTACTGCACATGGCATGGCCCCCTGCAGCGCACAACCCACCTCTCTGCCCAGGTGATATAATGGGGTGGCTCCCTTGCTTGTAACTCACATGATTATGTATGCCCTATTACTAAGCCTATAGATAATGACCTCACTCATGACCCTGCCCCCTGCTTGTATCTAATAAATACAGATGCTCTTGGGCATTTGGGGGCCATCACTGATCTCCACTCACAGGTGGCGTGGCCTCCTGAGTCCAGATGCTCTTCACCAGTTCTTCAGTGACCTGTCGTTTTACTTCTTGGATCCTGCACCTCAACACAGCATAAGGGACACCCACGACCCTGTGGGGCCCCTACAGCCCTACACAGACCCTGACTCAATGACAGATGAATAAATGCACTCTCACACCCATTACAGTGATTCAAGTGGGCTAGGAATGGTCATTGGCTGCTTTCCCAGGATGATTGCAGCCAATAAACCAAGACCCCTGTCCAGCCTCACATTTATTCAGTATGGATTTAATAACAAAGGTACTAAGTCAACATGCTTGCGGATAATTAGCATGGTAAAAAGAGTGGTTTTACAAACTTAAAAGCTTTAGGTTCTGGGGCCCAGAGTAAACACCATTAACGGGTAATTCCCCTTTGACCTCCCCCTAAGAGGGCCATCAGCACAACGTTTACATGAGCAAACAAATTAGAGTGGAGACAAAGGAATGTGGGGTAAATAGACTTAAACTGGGAAAGCCTCTTATCGTCTCTATCTTTTCCCTAAGGTAATGAACTGGCTGCCTTCAGCCTGTCCCAATAAAATCTTTCAGCCTTTCAAAAGGTTTGAGACTAATCTATAACGTTCCCTAATATTTTGCCAGCCACCCCATGTGGATCTCAACAATGCCCAGCTGATTTTTTTTATTTTTTAGTAGAGATGAGATTTTGCCATATTGGCCAATGTGGTCTCAAACTCCAGGCCTCAAGTGATCTGCCCGCCTCAGGCTCCCAAAGTGCTGGGATTACAAGTGTAAGCCACTGCACCCAGCCTCTGTTGTTTCTTTCTTTTGGTGTGCAGAAGCTTTTTAGTTTAACTAAGTCCCATTAGTCTATTTTTTTTTTTTGTTGTGTGTGCTTTTGAGATCTTAGTCATGAATTATTTGCCCAGACCAATGTCTGGTTCTTTCTAGGTTTCCTTCTAGTATTTTTATGGTTTTGGGTCTTACATTTAAATCTTGAATCTATCTTGAGTTGATTTTTTATGTGGTGAGAGATATGGATCCAGTTTCATTCTTCCGAATATTGCAATTCAATTTTTCCAGCACCATTTATTGAGCAGGGTATCTTTTCCCCAGTGTGTGTTTTTGTCAACTTTGTCAAAGATCAATTGGCTCTAAATACGTGGTTTTATTTCTGGGTTCTCTATTCTGTTATGCTGATCTATGTGTCTACTCTTATACTAGTACCATGCTGTTTTGGTTACTATATGGTTACTATAGCCTTGTAGTATAATTTGAAGTCAGATAATGGGATGCTTCCAGCTTTGTTCATTTTGCTTAGAAATACTTTAGCTATTCAGGCTCTTTTTTCTTTATGTATGAATTATAGAATTTTTTTCTCTGTGAAAAATTATGTTGGTAATTTGATAGGAATTGCATTGAACTTGTGGTATCTCTGGACGGTGTAGTCATTTTGACAATATTAATTCTTCTGATCCATGAACACGAGATATTTATACTTTCGTTTGGGTCATTGGTAATTTCTTTCATCAGTATTTTGTTCTTTTTCTTGTAGAGCTCTTTTACCTCCTTGGTTAAATATATTTCTAGGATTCTTTGTTTTGTTTTGTTTTGATTTTGAGATAGGCCTCTCTGCCACTCAGAGTGGAATACAGTGGCAAGATCTCTGCCTCCCAGACTCAAGCAATCCTCCAAATTCAGCCTCCTGAGTAACTGGGACTCTAGGTGGGCACCACCATGCCCAACTAACTTTTGTATTTTTTGTAGAAATAGGGTTTCACTATGTTGCCCAGGCTGGTCTCAAACTCCTGGGCTAAAGCAATCCGCCCACCTCAGCCTCCCAAAGTGTTGGGATAACAAGCATGAGCCACCCTGCCCAGCTTAAGGTGTTTTTTGTTTTTTAATTTTAGTCATTGTAAATGTGATTGCTGTCTTGATTTAGTTCTCAGATTGATCATTATTAGTTTATAGAAATGCTACTGATTTTTGTCTGTTGATTTTGTATCTTGAAACCTTACTGAGTTCATTTATTAAATCTAAAAGGATTTAGTATTCTCTAGATATAAGGTCACAGCCTCAGCAAGCAAAAATAATTTTACTACCTCTTTTCCAATTTGGATGTTTTTTAATTTGTTTCTCTTGCCTGATTGCTCTGGCCAGGACTTCTAGTATTACGTTAAATAGGATTGGTAAAAGTGGACATTCTTGTCTTGTTCCAGTTCTAAGGGGAAATGCTTTCAACTTTTTACCATTCAGTATGAGGTTGGCTATGGGTTTGTCTGTCATACATGGGCTTTATTATTTTATGGTATGTTCCTTCTGTGCCTAGTTTGTTGAGGGTTTTTATCATGAAGTGACACTGAATTTTTTCAGATAGTTTTTCTATGTCTACTGAGATGAACATATGGCTTTTGTTCTTAGTTCTGTTTATGTGATAAATCACATTTATTGGTTTGTATATGTTGAACCATCCTTGTATCCTTGGAATAAAACCCAGCTGATCATGCTGTATTATCTTTCTGATATGCTCTTGGATTCTGTTTGCTAGTATTTTTGTTGAGGATTTTTATATCTATGTTCATGGGGAATGTTGCTCTGTAATTTTCTTCTTGTGTCCTTGTCTTTGGTATCAGCGTGATACTGGCTTTGTGGAATGAGTTAGGGAGAATTCCCTCCTCCTCAATTTTTTGGAACAGTCTCAGGAAGATTGGTACAAGCTCTTCTTTGTACATTTGGCAGACTTCATCTGTGAATCCATTTGGTGCTGGGCCTTTTTTGGAACTTTAAAAAAAGCCACCTGGACCTGGGATTTTTGGAATAAAAAATTTGGCAATTTTTTTTATTATAGATGCATTTTCAATACTTATTATTGGTCTGTTCAGAATTTCTATTTCTTCCTTGCTCAAAGTAGTCCTGAGATGGAAACAAAAGGTTGGTATTCACCATCATAAAACTACATAAGAGTATAAAAACTCATAGGTTTTATGAAATAATTACACAAAGGAGGAACAGAAAGGAATCAAATGGCAGCATGGCAGAACTCCACCAATCCACAAAGACAACAGACAAAAAAAAAAAAACCATTGATAAAACAATTAGATAACAATTAACAATATGACAGGATCAAAATGTCACGTATCAATATTAACCTTGAATATAAGATAAAGATCGAAACACTGGATTTTTTTAAATGATCAAACTATATTTTGCTTATAAGAAACTCAACTTATTGGTAGACACATATGTACTGAAAGTAAAGGGGGAGAAAAAGATATTCCACACATACAGAAGCCAAAAGCAAGCAGGAGTAGCTATACTTATATCAGACAAAACATACCTTAAGTCAAAAACAGTAAAAAAAAATCCTAAATATATATGTACCCAACACCAGAGCACTCAGATCAATAAAACAAATATTACTAGACCTAAAAAAAGAGATAGACAATAACACAATAATAGTGAGGGATTTCAACATCTCACCTACAGCACTAGAAAGATCATTGAGACAGAAAATTAACAGAGAAACATTGGACTTAAATTGGACTTTAGATCAAATGGACCTAATAGACATTTATAGAACATTCAACAACTACACAATATATCTTCTTCTCATTAGCATATGGAACATTCTCCAAGGTAGATCATCAGTGAGGCTGCTAAACACGTCTCAATGCATTTTTAAAA